GGAAGCAGAGGACGCTGGAAAGTAGGCCGGGAGGGCAGGGTGCTGGCAGAGGTGTAGTTTACATGAGGCCTCTCCCAGGCCGAAGAGGAGGCCCCTGGAGCCCAGGAGGGATAAGTGGGAGTGAGAGAGAACCCCGAGGCAGAGAGAGGACTGGAGGGCGTCCCACCTGAGGCCTCAGCTGAGGAGGGGCCCGGTGTGCCCTGGGCTGTGGGAAAATCTTGTAGGCCACCCTCCTGGAGAAGTTGCCCCCCCACACACACACTCCCAGTTAGGAAGGCCCTCTGGAAAGATCTTGGCCACCCTGGCTTGGGTGGGGCCTCCCTGGCCCTGAAAGGCAGGTGTCAGGCAGGTGTGCCCTCCTGGGAAGATGGAGGGCTGGAGGCCGGGCCTCTGCAGATGCAGCCTCGGAGGCCTTGGGCAGCGGCTCTGGCCCCAGATTGGTGACTGGCCAAGAAAGAGGCAGGAAGCTGGAGTCCGCTGGGGGATCTGCGGTCACGCAGGTGAGATGAGGAAGGCCTGGTGGAGGAGCAGACCCGGATGCCCAGGAGGGCCTGGGTGGGCGAGCTGCCCCAGGGGAAGGGCATGAGGACCATGCAGCGAGGAGAGCCCTGGGGAGTGGAGCAGGCAGCACTGGGCCCAGCTCCTGAGAGGCCATGGGGGTCTGACCTGCAGCAGGGCGTGGAAGACCGGGCCTGAGGGGCTCTGGCACTGGCTTAGAGCGTGGGTAACTGGAGCAAGTTCTGGGAAGGAGGGAGACTGCCGTGGTGGGGAGCCTGGGCCAGTGGAGGGAGCCCTGGGAGGTCAGGGTATGTGGCCATGAGAAGCCCAGAAGGAGGCTGGTGGCCTAGGCAGGGGCAGGGGCAGGGTGCTGTCACCTCTCCCCAGATGGGCAGGGCCAGGAGGCTTGGTGGAGGGCTTGGATGTAACTGGGCCTTAGAAAAAGAGCAGCAGAACACTCCAGGCAGGGGAGCCCATAGCTCTGTGACAGCCAGTGGCCCAGTGCAGGGCAGGCTGAGCAGGGGTCGCGCCAGGCTGGTGTTGACTGGCTGGAAGGCACAACCGTAGGCCTCTGAATCAAGTGCAGAGGACGCTCCTGCCTTCCTGCCTCCACAAACCACGGGAAACGCAGCCCTGCACAGGGGCGTGAGCACAGGAGACCGCACTGGGAAGCCGCAGAGCAGGTGGGCGAGTGCCCTGGTGTGCCAGGCCTGAGAAAGGCTAATCCAGAGCAGCAGCGAAGAAGCTGGAACCAACCAGAACCCCCAGCAAGGCCTCGGCACCTCCGCGCTGGCCTGGGGTGACGGGGTGCCAAGTGTTGCAAATATAGCAAGCGCTCAGGCAGCTCCCAGACCCCGCCCTCACTCTGCAGAGCCAGCAGCTGCCCCTTCCTGACATCGAGGAGGCCGGAGCTCCAGCTGGACAGGTAAGTCAGGGTCTCTGCGCTGAGGCCACTAGGCCTGGGGGAGGGGCTTGGGGATCACTGGGCGTCATCAGCTTCTTTGGGGAAACAGCAGCCAGACCCTCCCCCTCTGGGCGGGGGTGGGAAGTCTTCCCCAGGAGCCGGTCACCCCTCTCCCCATGGCCAAGGCTCCCCAACAAGTGTCCCTGTCAGGTGGCTGCAGGGTATCTGGGTCTACACCACCTTCATGTGTACGGAGCTTCCGGTCCTGGTAAACAGAAACAGGCAGCGGAGGACTGCTGCTCACCCAAGGGGGCCCTCCTGAAACAGCAGGAAACAAGCTCTGGTGAAGAGAGCCCACGGAGCGAGAGCCCACGGAGCGAGAGCCCACGGAGCGAGAGCCCACGGAGCGAGAGCGAGGAAGCTTAGGAAAGAAATGGTTGTCGATAGAGACAAGGAGCCATCGCGAAACAAGAACAGGGCCTTCCAAAAGGACAGAGCGAAATAGGGACTCTGGGGGGAGGGGGTGATAAATGCCGAAATGAAAATGAAAGCAAATGCATCAGGATAGAAGAAAAATGTCTTCAGACCCTGACACATTCAATGACTAGATAAGGGCTCTGGGGAGTAGTTTGTTACACATCAACATATAGCAACAAAATG